GAAAAGAAGGGAACCTGAAAATACATTTAAAAAAATCTGTGACCTCAGCTTGAAAACTATTTAAAAAATTGAAATAAAAAAAAATAACCTAGGCTTATAATACTTCTATAATATAATATATGTAAGATAAATCAAAAACGTATGCTTTAAACTAAAATTGACAGCTTATAGGATGAACATTAATTAATATACACAATTTACCATGCAAAATGCATTTGTGAAGGATGGCAAGTATAAATTAACAATATAGGGATTTTTTTTGGCCCTGTATTCACACTCCAACATTTGAAATGCATTAAAAATTCAGTGACCTCAGCTTGAAAGATAAAGATCAGGAGGTTGGAAGCTTGTGTCCCAATATTGTAGGCTATGTGGCCTTGGAGCCATGCTTCAAGTGCAAGCCATCAAAGTCAATGATCAAGGATGCAAAATCAGCCACTAACAGAGAATATGTTAATTTGTGAACCTGTTTCTGTTAAATGTGTTTAAAGAATTTGTCAGTAAAGCTAATAAAATTCTATTCAGTTAACATGTTTTGACCACAATTTTGACAGATTTTTGTGAGGCAAGGTTTTTGTGTTGAATTCTCAATCCAAGCTGGGCTTTCTGCAAACAGTGTGGTTTTTCATCTGAATGAGCGACGGGAACAACATACACGGAAAAAAATGTTTCATTCATCCAATTAAAAAAATGTAGGGAAATGATTCACATCTATATTTTTTAATTTGAGCCAATGAAAAATAAATAACTTGCCCTAAACAATATTTTCTATGTCTAATATTTTCTATTTCCAAGTTAAATCTATATCAGTTGTTTTATTTTTTCAATTTGTTAAACTAGAAGATTAAGAAAAAAGCTAACAAATAAAGGAACATTCATGCAATTTTCTGTTTTATTTTAATTCAATTCCAAATGTTAATTTAAAAACACAACAAAACAATTTTTTTATCTTAAAACATTTCCCAATAAAACATGAAAAAAATAGTGTAACAAACTAACATAAAACAGTTTATCTCAGAATCACAACAAACAGCATCAAAACTATAAGGTTTTATTCCACTCTGAGTTCACAATATTGGCAATACTGAATTTTAGGTGCTAACTCACCTTTTCCGAGGTTGAGCATTACCTGCTGAATAAAATATAAAGTTCTTTTCAAACACTTAGTCCAGGTGCAGAGCATAAATCAGTCTGAAAAACTGGACATAGAAGGCCTGAGATCGGTCGGTTCATCCATTACAAAGTTTTCTTCCAAGATGATTCCCACTCTAGCTGGGTTAGATGTGGACTTGCTTGATCAACGCTGAGGATTCTTAATGGAGTCTGTCTTGTCAGCTGCATCCTAACAGAGGAAGAAACAGATCGATAAAGACATGATCAAGTCAGTTAGATAATGCTGTTGTCAAATACTCAAGATCATATGCTGCGTTCACACCATGTTCTACTTAGAGCTGTTCATGTCCTTGGACCGGGAACTGTGCGTTTCTATGGCAACACTATCGATGCCTAAATTAATCTGCAGCAGTCAGGTACAGTGGTCATGTGGTACAAGTAGAAGCTCTCAGAAAATTCCCAGATTACAGATGGTAATTATGAGTTCTACAAGGACATGAATTCTTTTTCCAAGTTGGAATCTTGTAATTATGGCAAATACAACATGGGAATTTATACTTTATACTGTACGTACCTGGTTTACTGTAAAAAGAGCTGGCCTTTGGGTGATGTTAGGCTTACAACTTTTCCCTCAAAACAGGTCTCCGTTAACCCACATGACATACAGCTGATCTGGAGTTTTGCTGTGAGGTGGCATAGTGCATAAAGTGCATAAAGTAATTTAAATGTATGTACATGCCTAATGTGAACAACGACATTGTTTCGTACTTCCATGTTAATTTAAATGTATGTACATGCCTAATGTGAACAACGACATTGTTTCGTTCTTGTATAACTTCCATGTTTGAAAATAGAGACAGGGTTTCACAGACAGGGCTTAGCTTAAACCAGGACTAGGCCTTGGTTAAATTAGGATATTTAAATAACTTTTATAAAAATGCCTTAAAGGGGTGGTTCATTGCGATTTCACTTTTTTAACATTAGTTGGTGTGTAATGTTGCTGTTTGAGTATAAACAATATCTGCAAAGTTACGAAGCTGAAAGCTCAATGCAAACGGAGATGTCTTTTAAAATTCTGACCGTTTAATGCCTACAAAAACGGCTGGTAGGGACTACAAGTTAGAAGAGGAAGAGAAAACTAGAGGTGCACGTAAAAATCTGTTCATATATGAATCGCAATTCTGTCTTCTAACGATTCTAATGGATTCACAAGTTTCAAAATCAATGTTCTAAAGCAGTGGTTCTTAATACTGTTCCTCCCGTCCCCTGCTCTGCATCTCTCTCTCTCTCTCTCTCATTCAGCTCAGCTCCAATAATGAACTGTTACAATTATACACTTATTTTCACATAGCTATGAGAAGCGTTTAACATGGACGCGCGTGCAGTTGCCGTACTGTATTAAAGCTTTAAACAGGATAAAACTGTATATTAAATTAGACGCGCACTAGAGGCGGTTTAGCCAATCACAACACACTGGGCTAGCTAACCAATCAGAGCCCATCGCCTATTTCTGAGGGAGGGGCTTCATAAAAGCAGGAAATTGATCAGGGCTGCATTTCTCGATAAGGATTGATCTTAGCGCTTAAGAGTGTTTTCTATGAGTCAATTTACGATTGTTCGTTATTGTTTCACGTGCGTTTTCCAAAAATGCACTAAACACAATCACACGTAGCCGTACTTTAAGTGATACTTAGGAATCGCTATCCATTTGTCAAGTGCTGAAATGTCCCCTTATAGAATGGCTCGTAATTGTAGTACTACACACTCGTTTATTGAAATGTTAACCTAATGCTGCGTTCCAGACAACTCGGATATAATAACTATAATACAATATTATATTATAGTGTATAATATTATACTTTACATAATAATATACAATATACTAGATTTTTTTCCCAGTCTTTGAAACATATTTCCTACATTACTTATTTTATTTTTTTATTTATTTTGTTCAGTCATTTAATTTAGGTGTGTATTTCTATTTTTTCTGTCGTTTTTAATTATTTAATTTATAAATTAATAATTTAAAAAAAGAGTAATAAAGTGTACAATAAAGCACAATCAAATCCTTATATTATAATCACATCGCACTTGAATAAAGTTAAAGGTGTAATCTGCCGATTGTCCGGCAGGTGACCACATAAATATTTCTTCTTACGATGCACTTAATGCTTTACGATTACTCCAGAGCACTCGTAGATCTACGATGATTTTCAAGTGGTACTTAAGTTTATGATGCTTTTGGGAAACAGACCGTAATATTAAGATCAGTCGTACGATTGTTTTTACGAACTTCTTAGGCTTACAAAACTTTTGGGAAACGCTGCCCAGCGCGTTTCTCAGAGAAGCAGTGTTGCCAGAAGTACGATAATTATCGTATTTGTACGATAATTTTGACCTCTGTATGATCAATAATGAAAATAATCCCATAATGTACGATAATTTCATAATATTATGACAATTCAAATGATGGTAGTTGTAGTCATAGGGCTTCTATATTTATACACGAAATCGGCTCATTACAGACACTCTAAATGCGCTCGTGCACACCTCAGAGTGTGTTAAGAATGCAGGAGGGTGCCCTGCTTTAAAGCCAACGAGCACTATGTTGCGGTCCATGATGGCAAGAACCCCCTCAACATCTGGCAACACACAGGCTTCTGATGACAGCGGCTCAGATGTGGAGTTAACAGCTGAAGTCTGTCTACACTGGATGTGACAAAGCGAGTGTTAAAAATAATTTTAATACGTCATAAATAGAACAAGGCATCAGTTTACTGTCGGGGATGTGTCGTGTCGTATCCAGTGCAAACAGTCACTGATTATAATGGTTTCTATAGTATTTTATCGCACTGCTCGCGTCTAATGTAAACACGGTATGCCTAGTTATCTATTGTGGTAATTTGCAGGTCGAGTCAAAAAGTTGTTGGTTTAGATAAATAGCTGTATTCTGTACATTTGACTCGTGTACGATAATTTTCTTCCAAATATGATAATTTTCCAATCTGGCAACACTGAACAAAGGCCATGTTTAACTTCCTCTCATTCTGCTGGCAGGCAAAGGCCATCAGTCAGCACAGGGCTGCTCGTACTACTGAACGTAATGATTCTTTATGGTGTGGTTCTACTGAAGTTTCAGAGATCAATACTATGATATGTAGTGGCGAGTGGTGCTGACGGATTGATTGGCTGGATGACTGATTCACCCAGTGACCAAACCAGCACCTCGTGTCCCCGAGACATCCTAAACTGTCCTTCACTCTTACAACCTACTTAACTCAGCTGCCCAATAAAAACATGAGAACTGATTCTTTCATCCTAGAAAATGAGAGATCAAGTCTGTTATTTCAAAAGACCGTCCCAGCCTGCTGGTCTGCAAGACACCCACAGACTACCCTAAGTCCAAGCTACAGAGATCATCTAAAGCACACTGCACAGACAAACAGCAGGAACTGCCTCGGTCTAACAAGCTCTCATCTGACAGACCGACTTTAAGCAACTTCCAGAAACCACAGGAAAACTTTCCACTGACTGTCTTCCTGCTGTTCTCGTAATGAAGCCTGGTCTGATCAATGGTCACTCACCAACTCAGGACATCCTCATGATAACAGATAAACAATTATGTTGTGTTATTGTTAAGTTGTGTTTACAAGGTACTGGTTTGTTCGTATTGCATTTTCTGCTTTGCTTTCTTTCTTTTCACTTTCTATCTTTTGTAAGGACTAAAATCATCATAAATGTCTTTACTCTCACTTTCGATCAATTTAATGCATCCCTGGATAAACATAACTTCTTTTAAAAAAATCATATCAACCCCATATTTTTGAACAGTAGTGTACATTATCGTAGATGTGGCGACCCGCTTAAAACTACTGCTCTACTCACCCTAAATGTCGTACCAGTCTGGCAAACTCCAGCAAACAGGTGTGTTTGGGCAATCGCAGAGGGCCTTTGGCCATAGCAAGCTGGCAGTCCTCAAAGGAGTAATCGATAATGCGCAACCCAAGTGCCCTATGGAGAAAGCACACACACAATACAGATTACAGGACACTTGGGCCTTTTAAGAGAAAGAAATGTAAAGCCAAACAAACAGACGTCAAATAATAAAATAAAGTGTTAATAAAATCGGTCACAACAAAAACACTTTGTTCTTTAAAATCCACTCACTTGGCCATGATACGTCTCACATTTTTGGCGAACAGGGCTGGATCCTTCTTCTCCTCCTCTGACGGGGTGTATGTAGGAAGATACTGGACAGAACTTTATCATCATCAAATCTGATTTGTGCATATTTACCAGTGTTGTTATTGTTAACTAAAACTACAAATATTTAAAATATTAAGCAAAAAATAAATTAAAATTAGATATTAAATCAAATTAAATGAAATTATTAGATGATCAAAATTAGATGAAAATTGAAATGTATAAAAAATAATTTGAATTACTACATTTAAGAGTAAAACTAAATGACTAAAACTGAAAAAATAAACAAATAAATAAATGTAAAATAAAAATGAAGAACAATGACTAAACCTAAACTGAAAATATAAAATAAAAGCTTCAAAATAATATAAAGTATAATATTATTTGTAATAGTGTATGAATAATACTAAAATAACATGATATTTATACCAAAATGTGATTTCTCACCTCTATTTCTATGGAGTTATGTAGCTGACATAATGTGAGCCATAGAATCTTAAAGCTGAAAAAGATAATGGGATTTTAATTCACAAATATATACAAGCACATAAATCTTGACCCTTAATCTACACCCCTCTTCAATGTATGGACCAAAAAAAACAATGTAAGTAAATGGGAACTGAAACCGTTTGGTTACCATCATTCTTCAAAATATCTTTGTGTTCAGCAGAAGAAAGAAATGCATATAGGTTTGGAACGACATGCAGGTGAGTAAATAATGACAATTTTTATTTTTGGGTTACTATCCCTTTAAGGGAACTCAAGAGACTCACGCTCCCGGCCCTTGCCATGTCCATGAGATTGTATCCTGTCAAGGAAGTGGGAAGAGAAAGAAGGCAATGAATAGGCTTGGCATCTCAAACAAAAACACATGTTATACTGGCAGTATCCACCTAAACAACCAACTATCCCGCACACACACAACCCCAAATGTGACCTAACCACTTGAACATGACCTTGCTCCTCTGAAAGCACAACCTTGGCTCTAAGTGCCCTAAGAGATTGCTGGTCTTGTATTATTCATGAGAGAAGGAAACAAAGACATAATA